TGAGTCTGTCAGTGGAACAAACTACTACTGTTAGTGGAACAAACAACAACTACTGTTAGTGGAACAAACAACAACAACTACTGTTAGTTTGTTAAGAATTAACGTTACAAACAAATATTTTCACATATAACTCAGTGAATTAAGGATTTATTTTGACCAAACCAGAGTACTATACTTCCTTTCTTCATTAAGGGCTTTTCAAATTAAGGTGTTTTTAAGAGGTTTAGTTTAGTTAATTAAGGGTTAATTAAGGGGATTTTAACGGATTGTTGTAATATAGTAACTCATGATGATAGTGATGATGTCACTGACCATGCGGAGGCGGTGTGCGTACAGCGGCTCTGGTTCGTCTGGTTTCCTGGTCGGTATGGTGATGTTCCAGCGCTGCAGCTCCGCCACCATCTCCGCTGGGCTGAAGAGGACGGCCGGGTCGGCACGGTAACGGTTTATCAGCTCCACCAAACGCTCCTTATAGTGCAACCTGTCGGAACAGACGGGTGGACACTGTACACAAATGCACCTGTACAGGTAAATGCTCCCAAGCCCCCACCACACTGACACTCCCCCGCAGACAGCGAACAGTTAGCCTTTCTCAGCCGCTAGCTAAGCTAATGTTACGACATGTAACAGACTTTTTTACACTGGGCAGAGGTTAGTGTGTCACTGGGCGCAGTGGGCGGAGGTCAGTGGGAGTCTTACTGGCAGTATCCTCTGTATTCAGGTAGAGCAGGTCGTCCACAGGGCTCCTCCCGTCTGCTGCCATCGTCTCTCAGCTCCAGAACCAAACACACTCCTGAAACGGAACTGGCGTCAGTCAGAGTGCAGAGAACAGATTCTGATTAGCACATGTCGGGTAAAAATGTTCAAACCTGGGTCAGAAAAAGGTCTGGAAATCTTGCCGACATTTGCTAAAAAACATCTTTTAAAATACTTAGTGGAGTCAGAAATTTTTTTTCGACATTGACACTTTTGACTTTGATGTTTTTTATTCCTAAATTTAGGACCGGATCAGATGTTTTTATTTTCTCATATGGTTGAACTCTCTGTTAACTCCATCATAACTTACTGTGGTTTTTATGTGGCACCCCTCCACTCATCTTCTGCTGACTCTGCACTCTGGCTGCTACTGGGGACTTTCCACAAACCTCATATTGCTAGGTGTCTTTTGAGGAGCTCCCCCCTAAGATATCCTCACACCCTGAGCTCTGACTCTGGCTACCATCCACACCTCCAGCCCCGCCTCTTAAATCCACTCTAACAGCCAATGGCTGCTTGTGCTCAGTTCCTGATCTTTTTTTAAATATATTTTTTTAACTACTTCAGAGGTGCTCTCATACTTAACACAGCCCACTGGATATATACTAGATTATAGCTTAGTTTACTTATTTTTCAATTTTATGTCATTTCTCACCAAATTTTCCACAACAAACACACAGACCATACCTGTCTGACGGAAGTCAGCTGAGCTGCTACTGGCCGGTTCTAACCAGGTAGAAGACACTCTGCAATACTGAGAGACCAGAAACACAATCCACCTCATCAGTGCTATCCAACCATCACCTGTACACACCTAAGCTCTCCTGCAGCAGGTGAGCCAATAACAACAACAGTGACCATCGCACTCATTGATGCCCCACCTCCACTCTGACACCTGGGTCGGGACCAGAGTTCGGCCCAGATTCTGGTTTAAATCTGCAGACCATCATTATTCTATCATTATTATTTATATTTAGAAGCTAAAATAAAAATAATAACTAGTCTTAATCTTTAGATTTTAGATTTGAGGGTGTGCTGTAAACATTAGCGTTACTAAACTAAAAAACTGAGTTTTACCTTAGGTGGTTCCTACCTGCAGCAGCAGTTGTAGGCGGGGAACACTCCAGTCTCTCAGGTGGTACAGGCAGTCTCTGGGGTGGTGGGCGTGGAGACCTTTAGTTCCACAGTCAGCAGAGAAACCGCAGGCCTGAGGATGTTAAAGAAATCTGTAACATCTGAAACCGCCCAGACCCAAACCATCCACATATATAAAGATGTACAGTATAGAATCTCTATCTCCCCCTGGTGGCTGCAGTAAAGCTCATAAAGCTGCCTCCATGTTTGCAGACGGGACAAACTAAAAGATGGTTTTTGTCATCTAAGTCGTTCTTATCTTGCTGACTCAGGCTCCAAGTGGCCATATCTGGACATTCATCACTTAATTTCTGTACAGTGGGAGGATGGATGGATTTATATGTGGGTGGTCTGGACAAAGACCAGAGAGCAGTGGACTCACAGATCCAGGGGTGAAGGTCTGACTGCAGCCTCCACAGAACTGGTGCTGACACTGACTGCAGGTGAAGTGGAGACAGCCTCCCTTAGACAGACTGAATACACACTGACACCGGGGACACTCTGAGGACACAAACACAGCACAGTCTCAGTACTGGTCCCCCTAACACCAGCTTCAGATCATGGTGTTAGGGGGACTCAGTTCAGGTCCTGGTTGTAGTGTTCGTACCAATGCTGTTATAGCTGAGCAGGGTAGAGGTGCTGTTGTGGTCTGGCTGATTCTGTTGCTGCCAAACTCTGAACTGGTCACAGGAGATTCCCTGATGTTGAGGGGACCACTACAGACACAAACAGGTCTATGTTACTGACAGTGGTCCTCCATAGATCCTGATTTTATTTACTTTTTTAGTGACGGACAGTCGGCATGAGTCCACCTGTGTCAAACACTTCATCACAGGTCAGTTACTGAGTGTGTGTGTGTCTTACAGGTGATCTGCACTGGCAGCAGGTACTCTTCTTACAGCTGGGACAGTCCATCCTCAACCTGTCAGCTTCATGCAGCACACCGAACGAACACTGAAACAAACACACAGGTGACAGGTGTACTGAGCAAGCCCACTGGCCCTATACATACACTTTATATAGTGTCTAGTGTATATATATATATACACTTCCAGTCAAAAGTTTGGACACACCT